TATGAATTTTATGATGAATAAAACTTGAGTTCAATAACTTTATGTAATACATTTTTTTTCAAATTTCGGGCCCCAAAATTAAGGTGCATCTTATACATGGGAGCATCTTATACATGGGAAAATACGGTAAAACAGTAAAATATGGCAAAAATGCACAGTTTGGTCTTCCATCTTCAACTTGTAAAATCTCCAAAACTCAACTAAATCGCTCAATTTTTTTTTAGAATGAAGCTAGAACTGTCAGCTGTTAAATGACATAGCAATAACATAGATGCAAATGACTCTAGTACTTCCAAAAATGAACTAGTGCCATCTGTTGCAAACACGCGGCATGATTTTTCCAAAGACCCAATAAATCAGTGAAGTTTCTTTCTATCTACTACCAAAGCTGCTACACAGGTTTATCTTCAGTTTGGGACAGAGTAGTTACCACAGGTCTGACAACTGGAATATGAACTTCACCTTGGGGGTGGTCATTACCTAGATCAGCTAACACCAAGATTCATTAAGATGCCTGTGTGACTACAGTGAAGTTCACTGCCATATCTATTAATAAGATGTTGAAAACAAGGAAAACGAACAGTTTCAAACATGGGCCTCAAATCAAAAGTCACAAGGGCCCATTTCTGGAATTTATTTATTTAATAATGGTAAGCCATTCTCCCAAGCAACTGGTCACAGTGAAGCTGGTAGTAAATAAAAGCAGTCAAAACTGTAATTAATAGCTTTTCTCAACAAAGTCTGAAAGGACTGATTCCTTTAATTCATTTCTAATAACCCAGCCTGGTAAACAAGACTATTAGTAAGGATTTTTAAGTGCTTTTAGAATAAAACAAGTTGGGATAAAATTTTCCACCTAGACCCAACAATCTACGTATCAGCAAGTAGTCACCCACGGGAAAAGTGCTTGAATGTGAAGAGCTCAGAGTGCTTTTTAACAAATTACTTTCAAATCATAAGGAACCAGGCCTTTTCAACAAATGGTGCTGAACAACTGGATGTCTACACACAAAAGAATGAAGTTGGACCCCTACCTCCCATCACACATAAAAATTAACTCAAAATGGATCATAAAGCTGAGTGTAAGAGCTAAAACATAAGACTCTTAGAAGAAAACATAGAAGTAAATGAGTTGGGTTAGGCAATGATTTCCTAGCTATCACACCAAAATCATGAGCGATAAGAGAAAAAATTAGATAACTGGACCTCATCAAAATTAAAAGTGCTTCAAACGACCACACCAAACCCAGATGTTGGGGTGGTGGAGTGGGATGGGAAGTGGCTGCTAATGGGTGTTTCTTTTTGGGTGATGAAAATGTTTTAAAATTCAATTGTGATGATGATTGCACAACTCTGTAAATATACTAAAATCCATTGACTTGTACACTTTAAATGGGTGACTTTTATTGTATGTAAATTATATTTTGGTAAAACTATTAAAAGGAAGAAAAGAAAGAAGGAATGAACAAATGAACCAAGACACAAGGAAGTAACTTACTGAGGTCACAGCAAATCAAAAATAGCTGTAGAAACAAATTCAGATAATTTGATTCCCAGAATTCTCTCACAGGATATTAACCTCAAGATGCTAACTATTGCTAACTCTTTCTATTAACAATGTTTTGGAAGGATGAATAAGTGGTAACTGACTCCGCAAGCAAGAGAAGGCTGAAACCTAGGCCTATAGGGGGTGGTAAGCCTAAAATCCAAAAATCAAATTAATTTGAGCCACAAAGAATGGCAAAGCATAAGGAATGGGAGGCAGCAGGTATCTGTGAAACCAAGGATATAAATAGGGGTGAAAGTCTTCATAAAGAACACTTAAACTACAGATCTCCTCTTGTATACCACAGGGCCAGATAATTACTCCTTTTCTCATGCAAAAGAGTAAAAGTTTGTAGAACCAAAACTAAAATGGAATCACTTATATCAGGTACAAAATGGAGTTGACCAATGCAGGCACATTAAAGAAAACAAAAACTTAACATAAATTGCAGAAATTTACAGTTCTCAGAAATCAGCAGAGGTAGCCAGCCAATCCCCAAACGCCAAGTCTGTTCACACCATTTTTGGACTATCTTGTTCCCTCTCTCAGTTACCCTGAACCAAATAATGAAGTAGACCAACCATGCAACCAATCAGCTGAAACAGCCAAGTAACTTCCACATATACCCCATAAAAGCCCTTTAGTTTGTGAACAACTCGGCTCACTGCTCCCGTAGCCTTGAGTTTCCCGGATTGCAGGTTGAAACCCTTGCAACAAACTCCTCTTTCTGCTCTGCTTTGTTTTACTCAACGTACAGGGTTTGTTTCCTGACATGTTTAGGTCATACAAATGGCTAAATCACAGAGGATCAGGGACTTAGTAATACCAAGCACGGTGAAGGCTGGAGGCAAAGTGTCACCTGAAAAAAAGGGGGATTATGGGAAAGTCTATATATTGAATGGTGAGACTGCTAGTACCTCTCCCTCACTCAGCTACCAGAATATAGGCTGTGGGGCTTCTACCTCTTGGGTACAAGACTAGAAGATTCATCTCTGGAGAAGCTGAATAGCCTGAGAAAAAAGACTTATAGTTACTGACATTTGACTGAAATCTATAGTTACTGATAATAAAACCCACTAGTCCAAAAGCCCTGGCCATCTGTGCTGTGCTCGCAATCCATTTTTTTTCCATGTTAAATTTAAATATTATTTTCTGCAGTTTCTAAAATCTCATTAAGCATTACTATAGACTAGTCATCTTGGGTATCATCAGACAATGCGTCTATTGTAAGGCATTTCTGCCCAATACTTATATCATATTTTAGGATCAAAAATTTAAAAACAATTATAGTTCACAAACAATGACTCTTCCATTCTTCACTACTTGGATAAGAAGTACCTGGTCCTCAGTAAGATTCTCAGCATCCCAGTTGCTACAACGAAGTACAAGGGACTTGTCAAGGGGAAAGTTCAAAATAGTCTCCGCGAGTGATTTCAGGCTAAGCCCATTACAGAGCAAATTGTTTCTATAAGAAATAAATAAAATCATGTATCAAAAATGGGAAAAGGACAAGAACAGGCAAATAAAAAAATATAAATCGGAAAAAGACAAGAACAGGCAAATAAAAAAATATAAATGGTCAATAAGCAGATGATAGATAATCTCACTAGACATTAAATAAGATAAAATAAAAATTACCAGTATACACATTTTTTAATCTATTAGATTATATTTTTAAAATAACTATATCTAGTATTGGTGGAGCATGAAGAATCAGTCTAACCTAAAATTCGTGAACTGTATATTTTTATAACCTTTATGAAAAAGTTTAACAATAGCAAAATTAAAATTTTGAACATGAAAATTCTCTGATCCAACAATTCCCCTTTTAGGAACTCATCCTAAGAACAAATGGACATAAAGCAATCTTCATTGTAGTGCTATTTATAGTAGCAAAGAATTGGAAACAACCTAAATGTCCATCAAAAGAAGATTGGTTAAATATCCATGCAATTAAATTCCATACAGCTATTAAAAATAAGGATGTGGGTCTATATTGATGTAAAAAGGTGGCCATGGCATGTTAGTTAAGTAAAAAGGGACTGTGAAAGAAAACATATGTTATGGTTCCTTTATGTTAATACATATACTACACAATTAATGTGTGCATGCAATTCTAGGTATGTGAGGGAGAGGAAGCAAAGAGATAACTAGAAAGATATTAATCAAATATTAGTGATATTATCTCTGGGTGTGGGGCTTGAGGTGATTTGATATCATATATATATTTAAAGTTTTAATGGAGAATTGAGGGAGGGAAACAGCATTGGGGAATCAGGGAAGGGGAACACACAAGTTGCTGTCCTTTTGTTCTTCATTATCATTGTATTATCATTGTGCTCTTCCTGGGTGAGGCAGTCACTCGCTGGCCCTGCTGCAGCCTACGCCGTGGCCAGCAACTCAGGGCAGCCCAGCTCCAGGTCAAGCTGTTGTTCACCATCTTAGCTGTAGAGGGCGCAGCGTCACTGGCCCTCATGTGGGATCTGAACCAGGGCCCTGCCTCTCAGAGCTGGTGTCCCAAGCCACTCCTAACCAAAGTGCCACTCAGCGGGCCCTATATTTTTCTATATTTGAATCGGCTACTGTTGGTGTATTGCTTTTCAAATTTGAAAACAATGGTAAGGCTATTTTCATTGAGGATGTGAAGGTACAATAAATATAAATAATCTTTCCGCTCTTCAAACACTTTTTGATTAGAATAGCTGCAGGGTGGTGAAAAAAATTAATTATGTCCAAGGACTGGAGATTCCAAACAAATAAATGTGATAAATGTGAAATTAAGAACACATTGATCTACACAAGTGCAGCTGGCTTCCTGGTTATCAAGTGAGATACTAGAAGTTTTAGAGCAGGAAGCTTAGAGGTGGAGGTTCGTGTCAGTGTTACAGCATGTAGGACTCCTCAGGTACTGTAGGAAGTGAAATCATTATAACAATGAAGAAAAGGACGTCTTTCCTTACAAGAACAAGCAATAAATTGATAGATTTCATCACCCCCAAAAGGGACACTGGCTAAAAAGTAAAAACAGGTCCAGACACACTTAGATAAAATACATAAGGTCTTGGTTCAATTAATGGAAATTAAGGATTTGGGTGAGACATAAAACTTTCTTTTGTTTATTAGAAATTATAAAAATAATGAATGCTTATTAAAAATTCAGACAAGAGAGCAGTATAATGGGTGAGAAGTGAAAGCCCTCCGCCCCACACTTCCACTCCTCAGGAATGTGACCCAACAGTATGTTGTAGCCCCTCCAGACCTTTTCTGCACAAATAACAGATGGTTAGATGGAGAGGTAGATATCGTTTTCTGGCTTTTGTTTTGTTTTTTTGTTCTGCTACTTGCTCTATCACTCAATATATCAGAGACCTCCTTCCATGACAGTAAATACAAATGTACTTATTTCAAACTTTTTAACAGCTGTGTCATTTTTCAAGCATGGATATTCCAAAATTCTTGAAATCAATGCCCTCATTGAAGAACAGTACTTAATTTTCAGTTATTTAATTCCATTTAGATCATTAGTGTTTTTTTAAATGTCATATTTGAGAAGGTTTCACATTGGTTGAGGATGAATTAAAAACAAGATGCCACCTTTGCCACTTCAAAGTTTCACTAGGAAAGATTCCAAAATCATATATAACAATCTTTATAATAAATCATCTTCAGTTAATATATAATAAAAATATAAAGAGTATGAAAAGAAGATGGCATTACCAAATAAAAACAAACAACAACAACAAAAAACTGTGTCGCCCCACCCAAAAGTCAATTGAAAGAAGCACCTACTTTTGACCGACATCAGGAACAACTCATAGCTAACTCACAGTGCTAAGTATAATTCTTGCACTAGAATGCCAAATTTCTTACACTATAATGTCAAAAAATATATTTTTATTACTGAGGTGTTCAACAATAAAATAATTATTTTTAAATTTTAATAAATTTCATTAAAAATTAGAAAGGCCTGATAAATGCTTTATTCTTATTTTTAGAAAAGTTCATGGTAATATTCAGCTTTGGCCAAATTCTTATTCTGACATTTGGCCATACTGCATTTAGCCAGAGAATTCAGGGCACCACAATTTCTATATATTCCTAGAGAGGATTGTAATTGCATGGAAAGAGATCTGGAAGGACAAACCAATTGGATGATGATGGTGTGGAAGGCAGTAGTGAAGATGATGGTAACAGGTGAAATTTACACAGCACTCTATGTCAGACACTATTTCTAAGTTCATTACATAGTTTAACTCATTTAATCCTCACACCAACCCTATGAGGTGGGAACATTATTATCTCTACAGATGAGGAAACAGGAATAGTGAGGTTCGGTAACTTGCCAAGGTTCATACAGCTGGAAAGTGGCAGTACTGGGACTCCCACCCACACAGTTAGCCCCAGAGTCAACTCTTAGCCACTAAACACACCACCTCGGGCAACAGAGTAACAGTGGGCACCTGTGAGGGAGCAGCGCCAAAGGATGTAGAACCTAATGAAAGGTGGCTTCTGCTTTTATGCTCCAAACACTTTTACAGAGTTCAAATTTTTTTACAGTATTTTCCTGTATTACTTGAAAAAAATTGATACTTTACTTATGAGTTTTAGTTACATAAGCCAAGCTACTAAGGTAAAATTTCATTTTATACTAAAAAATTACAATAAGCATAGATTTTAATCAGGCCTTCCCTTAGTTTACCAAATCCTTCAAACTTTTTATTTTTTTAAAGCTTTTTTTTTTTTTTAATTGGGGAACAGTGTGTTTTTCCAAGACCCATCAGCTCCAAGTCAAGTAGTTGTTTCAGTCTAGATGTGGAGGGCACAGCTCAGCGGCCCATGTGGGGATTGAAACAGCAACCTTGATGTTGTGAGCACTGCGCTCTAATCAACTGGCAACCTTGGTGTTGTGAATGCTAAACTCTAACCAAGTGAGCTAACCAGCTGCCACAAATCCTCCAAACTTTTAATGCAGTGTCTTCTGAGACAGGGAGAAAGGCTGTTTCAGTTCACACTATTAAAACAAGGACCTGATATATATATGAAAAATTAATTGCGATTCCTTAAAAAAAAAAGAGAGAAAAATATATTATTTCCATATAAATAGAAATCCAAGGGAAAGGGAAATCTCTCTTCCTCTCTAAGGATTAGAGCTACCATCAATTTTAGCCTAAAACAGGGTTTGCAAACTCAAACGCTTCCCCGGAGGAGTCAGGGCATGCTCATCTAAAGAGGGCAGTTCTGGATGAGCCAAGTGGCTTGTTGATTAAGAGTTGGCTTGGGAGCGCGAGTTCTGAGCAGCAGGGCCACTGGTTCAGATCCCTCATGGGCCAGTGATGCTGAGCCCTCTACAGCTAAGATGGTGAACAACAGCTCGACCTGGAGCTGGGCTGCCGTGAGTTGCTGGTGATGGCGTAGGCTGCAGTGGGGCTGCAGTGGGCTGCCATAAGCTACCGTGAGTGGCCGGCAGCCAGTGTGGGCAGCCAGCAGCCGGCATGAGCTGCTGTGAGCCGCCATGAGTGGCCATCCAATGGCCAGCAAACAACTGCCTCACCCAGGAAGAGCACAATGATAATACCAACATGGGTCAGTGAAGTGACGTCCTCCACAACTAGACTGAAGAACAAAAGGACAGTAACTTGTCTATTCCCCTTCCCTGATTCCCCAACGCTGTTCCCTTCCCCAATTCCCCAATAAAATCTTTAAAAATAATAAAAAAATAAAAAATAAAGAGGACAGTGCTACCCAGCCAACTGCTGCCATCTAGAACTATTGACCTATAATGAAATCATCTAATTTTTCAAGAGAAGCCAGAAATACAGATTTTTACATTAAATCTTCTGTAAGTAAAATTTCCCAAAAATATCATATTAAAAAAAACAATACCAAAAAAAACCTGCATCCCTAATTTAGCCAGTGGGGCCATCAGTTTACAACCTATAACTTATAGAGACACCTTATTAATGTTTCATCTAGAAAGACCAATTATAGGGCTGGCCAAGTGGCACGTTGTTTAAGAGTTGGTCTGGGACGACAGCTCTGAGCAGCAGGGCCCGGGTTCAGATCCCACATTAGGGCCAGTGACGCTGCGCCCTCTATAGCTAAGATGGTGAACAACAGCTCAACCTGGAGCTGGGTTGCCGTGAGTCCTGGCAACGGTGTGGGCTGCAGCCCCTGCTGCAGTGGGCTGTCGTAAGCTACCGTGAGTGGCCGGCAGCCAGCAGCCGGCATGAACTGCCATGAGCTACCGTGAGCGGCCGTCCAGTGGCCGGCAACCAATCTGCGTCATCTGGGAAGAACGTAATGATGATGCCAGCATGGCCAATGGGGCGACGTCCTCCACTAGACTGAAGAACAAAAGGACAGCAACTTGTCTGTCCCCCTTCCCCAATTCCCCAATAAAAATTTAAAAAATAACAAGACCAATTCTAAGTAAATAAAGTTTTCTCAGAAGTTGGAATATTTCTTCACAAATTCAATATGCATCTCAGAAGCCTTGGCTTGTAAAGAATTTCAGATGCTTCACTGTTGATTCTCATTAACCTACAAATCTTGCTAAAATATTTGCCCCACAGCTAACAGGAATCCCAGCATTCATACCAACCATACCTCTGCCTCATGGCTAGGTATCGGAGGTCCAGGCATCCCTTAACTACAAGGCCATAATCGTGCAGAAGCTTGCTGGCATCTTCGGAACATCCTACTCCAACTTTTAAAATAGTGCCATCTGCCAAAATGTTCAGTAACGTTTTTGGTAGTGTTTTTCCTCCACAGATCAACTTGGGCAAGCGAATCAAGACACAGAAGCCACTTGGGGAGGCCATTTGAAGGAGTGACAGAGGACTGACTTTGCCTTCCAAATTCACCTGTAACAGAGAAAAAAACAGTTAACACCCTAGCACAGCACTAAGGACAACATGAAACTGGCAAAAAAAAAGTTCCAGAGGTACACCCTCACCTTCCCACAGGGAGCAGCTGACCGGATTTTGGTTCCAATCTAAGGATCAGCCTGTGCTAACAAATGCAATGTATTCTGAGCAGCAACTTAAACAAAGGTTACTGAGGGCCCAAACTCCAGGGCTTGAAATGTGAGCAGTCCATAAATAGTGACCAGCTGACACAGAGGAGCACTGGGACACGTGTTGGCAGAGTCATGAGAAACATACCGGTTCTAAAAAGCTAAGAAAAAAAAAAAATGCTAAGGAGCAGAGTGCCAAACGATAAACATACTCTTTTCATTATCCAGATGCTAATGTACATGCCGGGGACTTGACTCATTTACCTTATCATCACTGCCTCAAGATCCGATTTTTAAAAAGCGGTAGAAAATACAGACACTGCTAGTACCTGCCAATATAATAAATCCTGGTAGCACAAAGTGCTTTCTCAGCATTTTATGGTCACAAGTGTTGTTTATAAAAGAAAAAAAAATGTATACTGAGCATAAGCTAGGATCCTTACATCTTAAGGATTGAAAATAACTTTACATATTAACTGTTCTAGTTTTATGCTTTATGAAGGTAATAGGTAAGTTGTAGAAAATGCTAAAAGCTAAGGAAGTTATTCCCAGAAAAATTAACACACAAAATTCACATGAATTAAAGGCTCCCTAAAGCTATCCACGGACACCAGGCTAAATATCCAATAAATTCCAATCCTCAATTTTCAGGAGAGGAAATTTAAGGCCTACAGGTGAAGCAGTTTGCCTAAACATAAAGAGATCATGGCAAAATCAGGACCAGAACCTAAATTTCCCAATCTCTAGGACAGTAGTTCTCAACCAAGATGTTTGTGCCTCACCCCCAGGACATTTGGCCATGTCAGGAGAAATGTTTGGCTGTCACACCTTGGGGAAGAGTGCACTGGTATCTAGCAGTTAGAGGCCAGAATGCTCCTAAATACACTATAAGGTACAGGATGGTCCCTCACAACAAAGAATCGCCTGTCCGCAACGTTAACAGTGGGAACCCTGCCTGCTCTAGGCAGTGTGGTTCTCTCACTACCACAGTATCAGTGTGTTAGGTGTCGCACCAGGTGCCACTGTGAATATAAAGTTAATCAAGAGATGGAACATGCCTTAAGAATTACAACCGTAGAGGTGGAGTACAATACACACAGGCTCACATCCTCAGAAATGGCATGGTAAATACCAAAGGAGTATTCCAAACAAAATGTTACAAGTAATCAGGGGAGGGATGTTTCATTACAGGGGTGAGCAACATCAGAGACAGGAAACAGTCAAGATCACAAAGAATTGCTCTTAAAAACAAAATGCAAAAGGACCTTTGCCCTCCCTCAACTTCAACTTCAATGCTAAGTAAAAACCATGGCTTAATTCACTCAACTTCAATGCTAAGTAAAAACCATGGCTTAATTCACAAAGCCTTAGGATTTCCCTTCTCAGGCATTGCTTTATCAGTGAGGGCTATTTCCATATCCTCAAATTAAAGTATGCCAGCTTAATCTCTAATGTGTCCATTTCTTGGACACTGTCTAAAATACATTAAGTAAATAATTAGATAGGTGGACAGATAGTAAGATGTCTTTTTAATACTGTTTCTGGATTGTGCTTAAGGTCCAATGTATTATAATCCAGGTTTTCCCACTAGAAATCCAAATGTTTATGATTCCAATAGGTATCAAATTTATAGTGAATGTATAATTGGAAGAATAATGCTTGGAGCAGAGTCAACTTGGCTTCAAAAATAAGATATCTAGTCTTTATTTCTCATATTTTCCCCTTTTGCTTTCTAATGTTTTTTTCCCTTGATATCACTTACTACTTATGGAAAACTATGGAACCCTTGGCTTACCAATGTTATGTTTAATGGGGAAAAAAATGACATGTTTTAATTTTATTAGCATTATTTAACCCAGTACTCTCTGATTTTTTTATTTTTTCATCAGTCAACTCATGAATGTTTAGGACATACACAATACATGTGCATGTGTTTATAAATTATTTACATGTAGTACTATACTAATTTGTTATAGACATTATTAAATATACACAAAAGTAAAAATTTTGTTTTATTTATTTTTTATAGATTTTATTGGGGAATGGGGGGAGGGGAACAGTGTTGGGGAATTGGGGAAGGGGAACAGCCAAGTTGTTGTCCTTCAATCTTAGTTGTGGAGGGCACAGCAAGCTCAGCTCCAGGTGCTGTGTTCAATCAGTTGCAGGTAGGTGTAGCCACCATCCCATGCAGGAGTCGAACCAGCAGCCTGTTGTTAAGAGTGCACACTCTATCCACTGAGCCATCCGGGCAGCAGCTCAGCTCAAGGTGCTGAGTTCAGTCTTTAGTTGAGGGTGGGCATAGCCCAACATCTCGAACAGGCAACCTTGTTGTTAGGAGAACGTGCTCTCACCAGCTGAGTCATCCTGCCACCTGTTGGCAGCTCAGTGGCAGCTCAGGTCAGGCACAGCTCACTGGCCCATGTGAAAGCTCAGTGGCCCATATGAGAATTGAACCTGCGACCCTGTTGCTCAGAGCGCACACTCTTGAGCAAGTTCTTAACCAACTGAGCCACTTGGTTGGCCCAAAAGTAAAAATTTTAAATGAATGAAGTCATCAATCATTCTAGACAAAATTTCTAACACTTTTTTCTATATTTCAGAGATTTACTTAAGAGCATTGGTTTAGAGATCCTCTGAGGGCCAGTGAAAAACCCACTTTAATTTCAGAATTCTTCTTTGTTTTTTTAACAAAGTACTGCATATTTACTGCAGAAAACATACAATTATACAAAAGGAAAAAACATATCAAAACTCCACAACCCAGAAATAACCACTGTTAACATTCTGTATTTTTTTCTTCCAGGTTTTATTTCTTTGCATCTAAAAATACTTATATTTTTACATATTTGGGATTATATGCTATGTAGTATATTTTAATTTTTATATTTTATTTTCTCTGTTTTATATATGTGATACATAAAAGTGATATGACTTGTATGTAATTTACAAAGCATAAATAACATAATGAACACCTGTGAAATTAACCTTTATGCAGGATTCCTAAAAGTCCAGAGCTGATAAAATTTTCTGGAAAAGCCAATGATTCTTTAAATGACCCCACGATGGCAGTAAAGAGTAAAGAATGATGTGGTACCATGTTCTGGGCTTGAACAGGTTAACCAGCATCCCTAGTCTGTGGTGTTTATATATCAGTTAAATTTAGCCCATAGCTTTAAGACAGGAATGAGCTTGTCCTTTCCAAGCGACAAAAGGTAGGCCCAAGGAGGCTGGAAAGTAATAAGAAGAATGGGAAGGGAATAGATGGAGACAAAATCAGGTGTTGAGGAGGCCAAAGCATGTCCTTAAGAACATGTAAGTAATTAACACATCTTGGTTTTATTTGAAGCAATAAAAAGACTTTAAGCAGAGAACTGACAGAATCTGATTTGTACTTTTGAAAGATCACTTTGGTTACTATATGGAGAAGGGGTTGTAGGAGCGCTAGAGTCTAAGCAGGGAGACCAGTCAGGAGGCTATTGCAAAGGTCCAGATGGGAGATACTTGAGGCTTGAACTAGGGAGGAATCAGAGATGCAGAGAAGTAGACAGATGCAAAATCTATTTTAGAGATAGCACTGGTAATCCTTCCTAAATGGGAAGGGAAGTGGTAGTGATAAGGAAAAGGGAGTGGACCTCAGATAATCCTGAAGCCTGGGCCTGCAGAAAGACACTTGGGAAAATGACCTTCACATCATTCAATATTTATTGCACCAATTATTTGCACTGTTAAACAATGAAGTCGTAGCCAGAAACGCCAGGAAATAAAAACCAGGCATGAATCAGGGGCCAGAAACATATTTAACATCCATCCCTACATCCACAGGAGAAAGGCAAACTAATAGCTTCTAAAAAAACATGTCAGCATCCTCGTTTTGTACAGGTGATTTACTCAGAGTTGTATATCACCATGGGTAACTCAGGGGCATCTGGAAACTCCTACCTCTTCCTGGTAGCATGCTGTGTTATTTCCTGGTTTCTATAACCACTTCTTTGAATGTCCATATATTTTGCCATTAAAGACACTTAATATACTGTAACTACCTATTTGTGTCTTGACTTTCAATCGTATCACTTCTGCTTGAAAACCCTTAGGAAGGAGGATGTCTCCCTGATTTTAATCTTAAAGGTGGAGAAGACTAGAGATAATACAGGTTTGGGAAGAAAAATCAAGAGTTCTGTTAAGAACATGTTATATCTGAGATGACTATTAGGCATTCGCAGGCAGGTGTCAAGCAGGCAGGTGGATATTAAAGGCTGAAGCTCTGCTTTTGAGAGTCATCAGCATATCAATTATATTTAAAACTATAAAATTAGATGAGATCACAAAAAAATAAAAATAGAACTACCAGACGACCCAGCAATTCCACTTCTGGATATTTATCCAAAGAAAATGAAAACACTAATTCAAAAAGATATACGGACCCCTATGTTCATTGCAGCATTATTTCAATAGGCAAGATATGGAAGCAAGGTGTCCAACATGGATGAACCTAAAGGGTATTATGCTGCGTGAAATAAGCCAGACAGAGAAAGACAAACGCTGTATGATTTCACTTACATGTGGAATCTAAACACCAACAATGAATCACAACAAAAAAACATAAACAGACTCGCAGATACAGAGAACAAACTGATGAATGCCAGAGGGAAGGGGGTAGGGGGATAAGTGCAAAACATGAAGGGGAATAAGAGGTACAAACATCCACTTATAAAATAAATAAGCCATATAGATGTAGGGTACAGCACAGGGAATACAGTCAATAATATCGTAACAACTGTGCATGATGACATCGTAAGTACATAAATACTGAATCATCATGTTGCACACCTGAAACCAATATAATATTGT